CGGGTCTGGCCAGCAACAGCACCACGAGGTCGCTGCCGGCACAATGGGGTCCCGTATTCAGCCCCCCATATCCAGCCCCCAAAGCCCTCATGCCCTGTCCCATGGCTGGAGCGTGCCAGTCTCCTTGGCTGAGGGCTGCTGCAGCCGTGCCAATCGTTAACAGTGGTTTGGCTGCAGCTGCTTTATCTCCAGCTCCCCAAGGAGAAGCATATTGAGATAATCCAGACAAAATGATAGATATACATTGGTGTCTTGTGTATGGATCTGGCTCGGGGTTTGTAATATTTTGTTGCTAAGGAAGCCCTCATTTGTGGTGTGATCGAGGACCCCATGCCAAATCACGGAAATTGATGTGCTCATAGTGGAGAACTTAATCACCAGAGGGGAAATGCCCACCTCGTTTTTCTCATGAAAGAGGAATGCAGTGCTTTGATTTTTGGCTCCAGTATAAACAGGGTGTGATTAAATATTGTTTCCCCTCTCTTTCTTGTCATTAATCAGGATATCGCTGTGAGCGCTGGGTGTGATGTGGGGACACTTGCTTTGATTCCTCAAGTTCTTAAATGGTTTTGCTCTCTTTTCAATCCCATTATAAATAGAAAGCAGGGTGTTTCAAAGTGCTCCTGCTGGAGAGCGCTTCTCATCTGAAGGATGTGCATCCGCTGGGAAACGCGCCTTCTGATGCGGGCGGCTGCGCCCGCAGGAGAGCTCCAGCCATGCAGCCCTGCAGCTCCTCTGCTATGCGCTGCCATGCTGGGCCATGTGTGCCACGACAGGCCCTGCCCCGGTGCAACAGGGGCACCCCAGCCCGCAGCTCCTCATGGCACGGTGCGGTGAAGCTGGGCAGTTGGTGCCCATGGCTGCTGACACAGGCACTGGTGTGGGGAGGTGAGGGGCAGCCCAGTGCAGGCTGGAGTGATGGAGTGACAGGAAAGCAGATGCAGCCTCTCCTCTCCTTTAGGTGCATTTACTGCCCCGGCTTGCATGGGCCATGATGGGACACGCAGGAGAGGATGGGCTGGAGGGATGGGCCTCACACACACAGGGAGCACTTCCCCTGTTCGCTCCCACTCGTGTGCTTCACTCACTCACACCTCAGGCTCCTGTGGAAATGCACCAGAAACTGCTCTCAAAGAAGTTAATTTTAGAGCAAAGCTGCCACAGAAGCTTCTGCTGCTCCTCCTGTCACAACCTCCCGTGTCTGGTACAGCCCCAGCATCCCTCCCCAGGCTGCCCAGCAAGGCCACAGCTAGGTCCCTACCGAGCATCCCCATGGAGAGACCTTGCAGGTTCAGGTCTCCCCTGCCCCTGGTGAGGAGTGTGAAGGAGATCAGTCAGGACACATAAATTGGCAGTGGGTGAGGCTGTAAAGGCTTCTGGCAGTGCAGGTATGGCAGGAGTGGGTTTGCTGTTGCTTAGGCTCTCTGTATGGGCTGGTTCTGTGTACACGGCACAGAGCTTGGGTGAGCTGGGTACCCCACACAGTGCCTGGTCCCCCAGCACCAGAGCCATGGGGTTGCTCTTCCAGGAGGGGTCAGAAGAGGAAGGAACCGCGGTCGGATGCCCAGCAGCCCCCAGGAGGTGGTGCAGGTGGGTTGATGTGGTGTTGGGGTGACTGCAGGGACCCTCCTGGGCTGGGGGGTGCCCCCACACTCTGCTCTCCTGGTCTTCTGTGGCTTTATAATCAACCCATGGCTCCTAATGTGGGGAGTGACACCTCCTGGCATATGGAGGGGGTCTCCCCAGAGCAATGAGGAAGAAGAGGGCAGGTCTTCCTCCACCCAGGGCCAGAGGATGCAGCAGTGCTGGGAATGAGTACGAATTCCCCTGTTCTCTCCCTTCAGTGTGAATGGGGCAGACTGCTTCTTATTTTCTGCCTTCCCGTTTACGTAAGGTGAGGATGTGGTTCTAAAGCTGTGCAAGAGCCCGGCTGAGCATGAGGCGACACCGAAAACAAGCCTTAAAAAACTTAGCAGCTTGTGTTTGAGTACAGATTCCTCATTTGCAGTTAAATATAATTGTGTTGGTCTGTGAGCCAAAGAGATATTTCTAGTTATTTGAGAACTAGCTCCTGCCCCTGTGATCCCCAAGGAATGATAATGAGATTTAACCTAAGCAGATGCTGTGGAGAGTCTGGCAGAGCTCCGTGCATGATGGTGTAATGATGAGGAGCGGGGCATGGTTGCGGGGCTGCTGCTTGCTGCAGCTTGCAGATGAACTCTGACGACTGCATCATCTTCAGGTCCGTGCTGTTCCTACGGCATCTCCTCGGCACGAGACGCTGCCAGACCTGGCACAGCACCCGGAGCCCTCCGACACCAGGGAGGTGACGCTGGGCAAGAAGGATGCTGCGATGGAGAGAGGGAGGATCCAGCTGTCCTCTGGGCCAGCACAGAAGGAGCCTGTAGGTCACCTTCACCCGTGGGGCCCTTCCCCTTCACTCCTCATGGCTCATCCTCAGCCCTTTGCGCATTTCCAACCCCAGCACATCTGGAGGTGCCCAGCTCCATGGGCAGGATCCAGGTCCCACAGCAGCTGCCTCCTCTGTGGGGATGGAGGCTCAGCCCGACCTGGGTCCTCATCCGCTGCCTGCAGCGCTGGGGTCAGTGCCCACTGGAGCTATCCTGGTGGGAGCCGCTGTTATCCCAGCACGGGCAGGGCTGTGGCACAGTCACTGCTGTGAGGGGCAGGAGCTGGAGTCTCCAGCCCACCCCTGCCCACCTCCAGTTATGGTCTTTGCAGCGTCAGTGACAGATACGTAAGGATTAAATTGCAGTAATCTCTGTAATCTACTCAGCAAGATTAAAGCCTCCCCCACCCCAGACTTTATCCCTTTCATTCTGGGACTCCGCTAGCAGTGATTACAGTCAGGGGAAGCCATTTAGCTTCTAAGCACTGCTCCATCCTGCTTAAAAACGCATTTTGGAATCAAATGAGTTTGTGCAGCACGGCCAGGGCTGGGCAGGAGGCTCAGAACTGGGACCAAGTAGCTTGAGTCAGAGTCTAAATTGAATGTACTGCTTCTGGCCTCATTCGGAGCATGGTGCATTTACAGCTGATTAACCAGGCCTAACAGGAGCCTGACTCAATTCAAGGCACCTCAGCAAGTCTCTGCTTCCACCCTGCTTCTGACAGGCACCTCTGGGCTCTGCTGCCCATGGGAGGCCCCACACTTCAGAGCTGGAGACCTGCCAGTTGGTGCTGAGTGTGGTGGTGATGAACTGAGGGGCTGCAGGAGCTGGGATGGTGCAAGGGCTCTACCAAGGAGGAGGCACAGAGGGAAAACCACCTGAGAGCTGATGGCTGTTCGGTGATGCCAGAGTCTTTGGCACTGCCTGGAGCGGGATGGAAGAGGCAGTCCCAGTGTGTTCCCAGTGTTTGGGAATGGCTGGGTGCCGCTGGTGTGTGCCTGCAGTGGCCCTGGGGGATGTGCAGCAGGTCTCTGAGCACCATCAGTCCCATCCTCGCACCTTCCTGCCCCCTTGCTGCTCCCCATGGGTCTGGCTCGGCTGCATCCCTCATTCATCTGCTTCCTGGCTGCCGAACGGAGGTGTCCTTCCTCCAGCCCCAAGTTCCCGCTGTGACAGGAGAACCAGGAGGCACCCGGGCAGCAGAACCTGCAGAGGAGGCTCCGTGCAGGCATTCAAGGACATTGCCAGGGCCAGGAGGCTGGAGCAGCTCAGCCCCTGTGGTACTGAGGATCCCCTGCCCAGGTACCCCTCAGCCATCAGTTCCCAGCACAAAGGGGGGTGCAGTTTGTCAGCCCAGAATCAAAAGGTGGTTAAGGACATACATATTAGACACAGAAAACTGGATTAACAATGGCACTTTGGCCCGTAGGGATTTGTTTGTCTCTGGAAATAAATTCTAACCTTGATCTGTTCTGCTTACAACCTGAAGACACCAAGGGCAGAATCCCACCTTTCATCCCGTTTCTTACTTCCTGTATGCATTTAATTCCTCCCCTTTTTCCCACCAGTTTCATGTGCTCCTGGCACAGCTTTTCTTTGTGTATTCCTGTAACAACCTCCTGATCCCTACACTTCTACAGCCTCTCTTTTCCTCCCTGCCCATCAGTGCCTGTGCTTGGGATGAGCCCCTGGGCTGGGTCCTCCCCAGTGAACCCACTGAGCTGGGAGCCCCTTGGCAGCAGCAGCTCTTGCCTGATGTCAGTTCATGGCCTGGGTGATCAGTGCCTTGGGGGAAGCAAGGTGAAAGGGGTGAGGACAAGCTCCACATCCATTCCATGGTGCTTGTGTCCTGAGTGTTGCCTGGCCACAGCCACCCACAGAGCTGGACATGGCTCTGGGAAAGGAGGAGCATGAGAAACTTCCTGGGGGAAACCATTGTCCAGGAGCAGCAATGAGCTCCAAGTGGCCCCGGAGGGACAGGACTTGGGGGCTTCAGGGTGAATGCTGGGCAAGGCTGGGGGGTCTCTGCTGCTTTGGTAAATCCCCCCTCAGCAACATGACTGGGGAGCTTGGGAGTGATGAAGAGGTGAGATGGGAAAGATCGACACGGGAAGAGCCAGGAACTGAGGGGAGGGCACCAGTGGGACCCTGAAAGGGGCTAACGGAGGTGGGGAAAAGCTAAAGGAGAGGAAGGTGTGAGGCTGGCAGGGAAATGCAGTGGAGCTCAGCTCAGGGATGGAGGGGGGGGCAGGACATTGCCAGAGCTCACAGTCATTCCCCCTGTGCTGCGAGGCCCTGGGTGACGAGAGGAGAACCTCCTGCCCTCTCTCGGAAGGCTCCTTCCCCCCGTGGTGCCGGGTCCGCTGCCGCAGCAGCACAGTGCCTGTGTCCCCCATGGAGGGATCCCAGCAGGGCTCCTGTTGGTGCAGGTGGCAGGGCTGGGAGCGTGCTGGAAGCACCGGAAACCTGTTGTTTGTGTGGAGTGGGGTGTAAACAGCAGTCATGTCATGGGGAAGACATGCCCTGCAAAGATAGAGAGACTGAAAGCAGAATTGTCAGCTTTACAAAACATTCCTCCCTTGCAAGCAGTGAAACCCGGAGGTGTCGAGGCATCCTCACCAGCTTTATTTATCCAGACGCCTCTAATGTTCATCCTTAAGCAATGTGTTTGCTGCCGAGGCTGGATCGCCACATGGAGGCAATAAAATGGCTAAAAATGGAAAAAGCAACTTTTCCCCGGATTTGGCAGTTTGTCATGGAGCGGAACTGAGTGATGGGCACATCCTGCTGCTGGAAGGGGAGCCCTCAAGTGCTCCCACCCTGCTGTCACTGCAGGGGCAGGGCAGCAGCCCCTGCTCCACCAGTGCCACTGGTGCTGCAGTGGCTGGGGTAGAGGTACCAGACATGGTGAGTTCACACTAGCTCCAATTGAAAACCCCTGTGGGTCACTTCAGCACAGTGGGGTGGTGAGGCTGGCCCCAGGAGGACTCAGCCCCTGTGCTACAGTTCCAGAGCTCTCCTGGGCCCGCAGACTCTTCCTTAAGAAACCATGTTTAAACTCCCGAGGGATCCAACTCCACTGCTCCCACACCAGCAGAGGGGATAGGCTGCAGGGAGCACTGCTTTTCATCCGCCTTTCCCATCTTTCCTTGTATCTGCATCGAGTTCCTGGGTGTTGCACAGGACAAAACCTCATCCCCACCGTGGACCAGCTGCCAGAGCTTGCAGCATCCTTGGTTGTGCTGGGCTGGCACCTCTTGCCTGTCTCTCTCTATTACCCTCCTTCTTCCCAAGTAACAAGACAAGTAGTTTTCTGCAGCAGAACATGCTTTCCGTGCTGAGAAAGCAGGGACGGTGACTGCTCGTGTTCGAGCGGTGCTGCAAGCAGCGCTTTGGCAGAAGCAGCCAAGCAGAAGCTGGGGCTGTCAGGGTGTGAGCAGGAAGGAAGCCGAGCGGAGCAGAGGGAGCCGGAGCTTGGGGATGAAGCAACAATTTGCACCCGCACCCTGCAGAAGCCTTGTGCTTCCCCTGGGCCAGCCTGCTTGTGGGGCACCACAAACACAGGCGAGGCTGAGCATCCCCGGCCTGCCAGAGGAACTGAATTCCTGCACTGTCTTCAAGCCGCTCCTTGCTCACGGCGGTACCCGGCGGCCGAGGGCTGCTCGTCCTGCCCTTGCCGAGGACAGAATCCGCTGCTGCCGCTCCTCGTTCCTGTCCCCTCCCTCGGGGGAAGACGGATGCAGGGAGCGGCTCCAGACGCGGGAGGGGTGGCCCTGGGGACCGGCCGGGCCCTTTGCGGCCACACAGCCCGGTGCCAGCCGGGCCCGCCCGGCTCCCGACCCGGCGGCTGCTCGCACCCCTCCGGTGCCCGTTCGCGTTCCTGGCCGGGGCTGCGGAGCAGACGCCGGTGCTCCCGACCCTTCGGGACTGCTCCGGGTAGTTGCGAACGCGCTGCGGGTCCAGAGCTGCCCGCGGGGCCGGGAGGATGCTCGCAGCGGGGCCGGGCTCGGCGGGGGAGCGGGGCCGGCCCCAGCCCCGTCCCGGTCCCTGTCGGGAGGGCTGTGTGCAGCGGGTGCCGCCGGCCCGGGGGAGGCTGCGGCCGCGGAGCGATAGCGGGGGCTCCGGGAGGAGCTGACGTCAGGCAGCCCCTTAAATAGCAGCGCAGCCGCCTCTGCCCCGGCATTTCCCGCGGAGACGAGAGCCGGAGCCGCCGCCGTCCGAGCGCCGAGCACCGGGCACGGAGCAGCGCCCGCCGGGGATGGGAGCCGCGGCGGGGCGGCGCAGGAGCCGGGGCGGCGGGCGCAGCCCCCCGGGCGGTCCGTAGCCGCGGGCCATGCCGGAGCGGCCGCGCAGGGTGCGGGGCGCGGCCGCCGCGGGGTCCCGGGGGCAGCGGCGCTCCGGGCCGGGCCGGGCCATGCCCGGCGGCGCGGCCCCATGGAGCCATGGCGCATAGGGCGCCGAGCGGGCGGGCCCCGGCCCCGGCTCCGGCTCCGTCCCGGCGGCTGGCGCGGAGGGTCCTGGTGCTGTTCACGCTGTCGCTGTCCTGCTCCTACCTCTGCTACAGCCTCCTCTGCTGCTGCGGCGGCCCCGCCGCGCCCCGCGCCCGCTGCGCGCCCGCCCGCAGCGCCGCCGCCAAGAAACTTCTGCAGAAGTCGCGGCCTTGCGGGCGGCCCCCCCCCGCCGAGCCCCCCGCGCCCGCCCGCCGCCCGCGGGACCCCCCCGGCAGCCCCCCGGGGCCGGCGCGCCCCGGAGCCAAGCGCCTGCCGCAGGCCATCGTGGTGGGCGTCAAGAAGGGCGGCACCCGCGCCGTGCTGGAGTTCATCCGCGTGCACCCCGACGTGCGCGCCCTGGGCACCGAGCCCCACTTCTTCGACAGGAACTACGAGCGCGGGCTGGAGTGGTACAGGTGAGGGCAGCGCCGCGGGACTCCCGGCCCCCTCCTCTCCCCTCCCGTCGGCAGCGGTCTCGGGTTCCGGAGGGGCAGGAGCGGGCGGTCCGGTACCCGCCGCCTCGTCCTGCCTCGGAGCCGGTCGCTTTGTCCCTCTCGGGGGGGTTTCCTTCGTCCTTCTCCACTCCCGCCCCGGAGGAGCGCTTTCCCTCCCGGCAGGGCACCACGGCTGCCGGAGCAGAGCCCAGGGCTGCAGCTGCAGCCGGCAGAGCCCCAGCCCTGCCTGGACGGGCTCCGGCACAGGGACGGTTACGGGTTTCCCATCCCGCCTGAGGATACTCCTGTGTGCGTGATGGAGCCCCCAAAACGGGTGTGAATGGCTGGAACGAGGGATGGCGCCGCTGTCTTCTTGCAGCCCTACTGCCAGTGGGTTTGATCTCTGGCTCTGAGGGAGATAGTCCCTGTCATTCTTCATCTTGTCTCCTTGAACTCAGCAAAGTGCAGGTATATCCCAAATCCGTAATAGCAGAGAGCAACTGCATTTCTCCCGCAGGAGATGGTGGGGTTTTAATGTCAGCAAAGGCTGTAGTGAGGAGCTCAGGGGTGCTCTCGAAGGGACGGTGAGCACTCAATATGAGCAGGTCACAGCATCCATGAGCTCATCCCCTGCCCACAGACCCACACGTGGTGCTGCAGGCAGCTCTGCCTGCTCCCCACTGTGTCAGCCCCAGAGTACCCGTGTTTTGCTGTGCCGTTGGGGAGCACTGCAGGAGCTCTGGGGTAGGGCCGTGGGGCTTCTGCTGGGCTTCAGCCTCAGGAAGCAGAGGAGGGTTCGCTGTGGCCCCGGGTGCCTGCAAGCTCACAGCAGGGAACAGGGTGCCTGGCACAGTGTGTGTGCTGGAGCACCACGGCTGCTGGTGGGAGGCAGCTCACGGGGCCATGCACAGACCTCACATCCCCTCCATCGCAGGGGAGATGTCCCTGTCCCAGGGCGGTGCAGTGCTCATCAGCTGCTGAGCAGGTCGGCAGGCTCCGTGACACGCTGCTCGCTCCCATTTCTGCTGGGGCCCTGGCTCATCTCCTCGCTGAGCAGGCACGAGCCCTGCCTGTGGCGTGAGGATGCTGGTTCCTGACCATCAGTGGGTCAGAGCTGCTCAGAGCAGCCCACTGGGCCCTGGACTGGTGTTTTCAGCCCTTGTGGTGGGTCCGTGCCCAGGAGGGCTGTCTGCAGACCCAGGCACATCTGCTGTCTGGTGTTGTACTTGGGTCCCTGCAGCCAGGAACATTCAGCTCCTTTAGCAGTGGTACCAGTGATGCGGAGCACCAGGGATGGAGCTCACTGAAGCTTTTCCCCTCTCCTAAGGCTGTCCTGCAGCATGCCCAGTTCCTCCTGCCCTTTGCAGGGTAGCCGCAGCAGTGTCTTTCACCCGTTCTTGCCCCCTTGGCAGGTCTGTGTCATTCCCACACCCTCCCACCGACATCAGACACTGTCACCCATCCTACATCACCTAGAAGCAGAGCTGGGAGCAGCCCTGCAATATATCATGTAAGGACAGGAGCAGTAGTGCTTTGTCTAAGAGCGTCCAGAGGAGCAGGACGGGTGATGGAGCACCCAGTGGCACCCAGTGCGGTGCTGATGTGGGGGTAGGAGCCACGTCCCCTCCACACACACTTGAGCAGCTGAACCTCCTCTCTGAGCCATGGTTCAGCCAAGGAGCCTCTGTGTGAAGGGACTCATCCATGACCGGGAGGGACAGAGCCTGTGGCAGCGAGTGGCAGTGGTGGGAGCAGGAGCTGCCTGGGCCTGCCTTTGTGTTTGGATCGATGGAGAGATCGCATTGGAGCAGCAGAGCCTCCGAATTAGTTCAGCTGAAACAATTAAATGACACTTCCCTGGTTTATTACCTTCTTTTTTTTTTCTAACCTCACAAATGTGCCAGGACTTAAGCACAGAGGCTGCTAATGGAGAAAACGTGGAATTGATTTTCCTCCTTGCAAGTGGAGCAATTAGATGTGGAGCAGGTCTGACCGCAGCCTGATGAGCTCCTGTCGCTCTGCCAAGGCACCGGGGAGCAGGAGAGCAGGGTCCAGCCGTGTCCCGGGAAGGGCATGGAGATGCTGTGGCTCTGAGGGCTCTCCCATGGCAAGGGGCTGCTCCTGGCATGACTGGGGGCTGTCCCCCGCTGCCAGCTGGGAGCAGTGGTGCTCCTGTGCTTGGGGAGCACTGCGGGTAGCCTGGAGCACAGACCCCTTGGAAAGGCAATGGCAAAGGCTTTCCCTGTCGTGAGCAGAGACTTCACCTGCAGGAGCCTCTGGCGGCTGTGCTGCTGAGGGCCTGGTCCAGCTCCATCCTTCCCATTGCGTACCTCAGTGGTGTGCTGCCTGGGGGGACCAAGTAGGGCTTCAATGCAGCTGAGAGCAGCGTGAGAGCTGAGCCCCTCTGATGCTCTGAACGCATCAGTTCCCATCTTTCCACGTTTTCCCATGCCCTGGCGTTGTCCTGATGCAGAGGAGGCAGAACCAGCGGGATGGGAATGGACATCTCCTGATCCGCTCTCCTTGCGGCTCCAAATGTCGTGCTCGCTCCAGCTGCTGTTTTCCGGGTGCCTCCTGACTTCGCCCCCGCTGTCACCCAGAGCAGCCTCGGCTCCCCCTGCGCTGCGCAGAGCTGGACCCCTCGGCTTCCCCTTGGGACCCCTCGGGAGCTGCCTTGTTCACAGGCCTCGGACCCACAACACCCGGGTGCGTCTCTGGTTCCCATCGGTCTCTCTAATCCACCTCATTAGCTACAGATACACTACAGGAAAGATATTTTTAGCAAGATCTGTTTTAAGACAACTGAAACCGAACAGCCAGCTGCTGGGGATATCGATTCATTACCAATCCTGGACTGGAGGCTCAATATTGAGCTTTTTCCTGCTGCAGGTGGCATGCACCAATAACCTTCAATATTTCCAGAACACAGGGAAGACAGCGCTGCTTAATTTGCAGTTAACTTTGAGCAGGGACTCTGATTGCAGCATCTCGGGGTGCAGTTTTCCTCCCCAGGATTCCCCAGTCATGCTGTTCCATGTTGCTTTCATGGAGAGGGGCTTTTCCTATCGGGTCCAAGGGCACCCGTGCTGCTGGAGCTCTTCCCTGCGCTGCCTTTAGGTTTGGTGCTCCTGGGGCTGCGGCAGCCCATGGAGCGGTGCTGGCCTCTGGGTGCTGGGCACTGCGAGAGCATCCCCGCATCCCAGTGCCTGCGGGAGGGAGAAGAGGGAGCTGCAAACCGGGCTCCCGCACTCTGCCTCGCTAATTGCTCTCTGCTAATGGCCAGGTTGGCTCACACACAAACAAGAGCCCATTAGGCTTTGCCCAGCGACACGGACTGCTTTGTGGGCTTGACTGACAGCGCGTTTTGCTGAAGTTAATTAGTAAGAAGAGAGGAAGGCAGCAAGCTTCAAGGATGCTTTGAAATTCCCTTGACTTCAGAGAGTGGCCCAGCTCTGCGGAATGGGAGTGAAACCTCTGGCAGGGAGGTTGTGTGAGAGCTGCCCTGCAGGCAGCGTGTGCCGTGCTCGGCCCTGCCTTCCTCCGGGCGGGCTGGTGCTGCTGAGACCCTCGCCAAGGATCTGGGAGAAGTGCAGGGGCATCAATCCACACAGGGTGCCAAGCCTGCAGTGTTAATGGTGTGTGTTCTTGCTCTGTCTTCCGTGACCTTGTTTGTAAGTGCTGCAGTTTGTTCCAGCCTTCGCAGTCCAGCTACCGGCATGGCCACGGGCACAGATGCTTCGGGAAGCTGAGGAGCAAAGGGTGCTGGTCCCTGGTGACACTGGGTGTCCATTGCAGGGTCAGGCGCTGTCTGCAGTATCTGGTGTGAGCTGTGCGGTGGCCGGGGCCTTTCTCCTGGCGCTGCCCTTGGGATCTGTGGGATCCTCAGTCAGTGCTGGATGGTTATTTAGGAAGATGGGAGTTACACGTTGGCTTGTGTGTGTGAAGGGTGGTGGCAAAGTGCCCTTTGGAAAAGATTTTGTTGACTTAAAGGACACTGCATATCTCCAGAGCATTTAAATGATTAAAACTGAATCAGCCACAAAGTTAATTACTCTGTTCAAACTGCTTTTATGCATCGCAATGTCCCTCATTAGCTGCCGGGGAGGGCTGGTGTGAGTTCTTTGAACACAAACATTTATTAAAGGCAGATGATCCATCATTAAATCTGAGGCTGCTTTAGCACAGGGCGGTGGCCGTGGGGACATGGGGCTGGGCCATTCCCTGCTGTGGATGTGGGGAGATCTGTGGATGTGTGGGGACAAGGGGGGTCCATCCTGCTGAGCATGGCCAGGCCCCGCGGCCAGCACGTTCCCGGTGCTGTGGCATCAGTGCAGGGGGGCCCTGCCTGCCCCGTTCCGTCACTGCCAGCACCGCTGTGAGCCCTGAGCTGGGTGTCCCCGTGTCCTACACACCCGCTGCAATGTCACTGAGCTGGGGAGAGCTTTTATCTTCCTCACACCTCCGTTTCTTGTGTGCTTGACCCAGTTTTGCTTAAACCTCCCGGTAGGTTTGGTTGGGCTTTCATCTGCTGCTGCTGTCGTCTGCAGCCGTGCGGAGCCCAGCAGTGCTGGGCTGTCAGGAGAGAGCCGGTGGTGGCTGCCAGCAGTGTGCACCCACGGTACGGCACAGCCTGGCACAGCACAGCCTGGCACGGCACAGACTGGCACGGCACAGCCTGGCATGGCACATACTGGCATGGCACAGCCCCTTCGCATTGGGCAGGGTGCTTGGGGCCGGGTGCTGAGCCCTGTGCAGCAGCTGGTCTCACTGCACCATTGCCAGTGGGATCCAGCCTGTGCCTCCCGCTGCTCCTGTTGGGCAGTGTGGTGGGGCACGGGACAGGCTGTGGGGTGAGGACCTGTCCTTGGATCAGGGCAGAGTGGTCCCACAGGACCATCCCGGTGCCAGTCTGCACTCTTGGAAGAGTTTTGGTGCTCATCCCCAGCACGTTCAGCTGTAGCTGGAGGTGCACGTGCAGCAAACCCCTCTCCTAGCACCCTGTGGGCTTTGCAGGAGGACTTTGCCTCCCAGGCTGCCAGGGTCACTCTCCCTGCCTGCACACAGGCAGCATCCCTGCCTGCAGCGGCCGAGCCTGCGGCATCAGCTGGAAGCAGGAAAGCGCAGGATCCTCGTCAGGAGAGGCAGCACTGGGAATTTTTGCCACATTGAACAGTTTGGGTTTGTGCTGGTGAGTGGATGGAGGCCAGGGTTACGTGTGCATCAGCCACTGCATCACAGGAGAGCCCGGGATGCGCCTGCCGCGGCCCCGCGCATCCGCTCTGCAAGCGGGATGGAGGGGCCGGTCTGTAACGGGATTATGGGATGAGCGCTCTCCCCACACACGCTTGTCTGCAATATCTCAATCATCCGATGAGGGTTTGTACCAGTTCCTCCCCGGGAGAGTGTTTCACGCATGTTCGACATCAAAGCAGCGCAGCCAGCGAGGGAGCGCATGTTTCTTTAATGTGGGAGTGTTGTAGGGGCCGCGGGGTGCCCAAAGGCAGATTATCAGCAAGTTAATAATTCAGGTGTGGGAAAGGGGCTGGGGGAAAGTTAACTCCTTCAGGGCAAGGCTCTGCCTTTGCATCAGCACAGCCAGGCTGGGCTCGCTGCTGCTGCTGCTGCCCCACAGCCATGGGGCTGCCCAGGGACATGCCATGGGGCACAGCGAGGCCATCATCTGCAGCCGTGCTGGCGACTGGATGTGTCCCACGTGTTCCCACTCTGTAACGTGGGTGAACACAACCTCTACATCTGCAGGCTGGGAGGGAGCGCTAATGCCCGTATCAAATGGCACTAAAGGGCTTTAAGAACTGAGTAACTTTAATGGCAATAATCTCTAATTCAAGAGGAATTAACGCTGTCTCAACTGCCAGGCTATGCTTTGAGCTGGGGATTTGGCTGGTACACCCAGTGGATGCTGCTGTGTGGGACCCCCGGCCCCAGGGGGGTTGTGGGGCACCATGGGACACATGTGCCTGCAGCCCCACTGCCGGGCTGTGCTGGGGCGAGCTGAGATGCCCTTGGCAATTAAATGCCCTCCCTGGAGGGTTTGCTCTCCCAGGCAGTCGGAGGGAGCAGGCTCAAGGCAGGGACAGGCAGCTCCGTGCTCCAGCCCACGGCACTGCTGCAGGGCCAGAGTGGAGTTGGCTCCATCATCCCTAATGATTCCCGCACAGAACAGCCCTGGTGTTCACTCAGCATCAGTGCTTTTGCCCTCCTCCATTCCTGCTGCATCACAGGTTCCCATCATCAGAACACATGCGGATGGTGGGCGCACCGGGGCTGGTGGGGAAACCTCAGTGTTCCTCTGGCCTCACCGTGCTGATGGGGAGAGCCCTGGCAGCACTGGTTTGACACCAGTGCGGGCAGCACAGGCATGGGGGAACCGGCACGGGTCCCCAAAGGGGCAGGACTGGCCCCTGCCTGAGCTTTGGCCGTGCGGCACCACAAACCAGCTAGCGAGAGCCTTCCTACCTGAGCACACGAACCTTGGGCTTAAAACTGTGTGACATGCTATTTGTATGCAAATAACCCTGCGAATGCAGAAGTCCAAAATATCATTTTAAAGTCAAGTGTAATTAAGTTTGCAATGCATTTCCCCACTCCTGCAGCCCTGGGGATCTTGCTGTTAACGTGAAGATGAATGCCTGGATGACACTTCTCCCCCTTGCACGGTTTCACTGGTGATTTATTTATCTCTTCGGGTTGTGTTTTGTTGCCTCAGCAGTCTCTGTTGTTCAGGATCAGCAAACATTGGGACTCCATTTAAAAAGAAACAAACTCTTGTCTCATTTCCGTAATTTACTGTGCGGAGATTCTGTGTTTTTCATAATGGATTAGAACCTGTAATTTCGTTTTTGGAATACACGGCCCTAATAGCTCACGTAATGAAAGTCTAACAAGCCTGAAGATGAGCCATTAATGAAACAGCAGTTTTATGGCTGTAATAGCGAATCACTTACAAAGCTGTCCCACGCTGATGTATGGTGAAACTTGTTTGTGAGGCGCAGATGCAGCTGTGGTGCCTGGCGGTCATTAAACAATGGGGACCGTAATCTGGATTTATGGGGCTGGAAGCGAGCAGTGGGAAAGGCCAATGAAGCCACGTCCATGCTCAGGTACCTCGGTAAGCCAGCCCCGTTAATTCACAGTGACTGATGAGTTTGTTCTCTTGCAAAGGAGGAAACTGGTCAAGGGGGTGTGTGGTGGCGGCCCCCAGCACACGCACCCCATCACAGGTCATGTGGGGACTGTGCCAGCACCCAGGCCCTGAGCCCAGCCCCTGCCATCATCCCCAGCAGCCTGGCACAGACCTCTGGGCACATCTCTCCAGTTTCTCTCATGAGTCTCTTCCAGCTGCTGCTCTGGTTCACCTGGTCCAGCCTCTTCTTGTCCCCATGGGGACTCCCCACCCTTGGTGCACGCTGCTGCTCCCCATGATGCCTCAGGTCTTTGTCACGGTCCCCTTGTCACATAGGATGTTGTGAGCTGCTCTTGTACCTCCTCCTGGTTAGGGCTTTCGTTGGGTTTCTCTGTACAGAGGAAGCCCCAAAGCTGGAGGCTGTGGAGCGTGTTTTAGGGGCCCTGGAGGTGTCTGGTCCCAGCCACTGGGCTAATGGAGCTCTCGGAACCCCCGTGCTGCAGCGAGGCAGTGTGGCCATGGCGGCTACGTGGGGTTATCCCAGGAATAAATCAGTGCCCTGCTCGCTCCAGCTGAATTGCTGCAGACAGGGATGCTGACGTGGGCATCCCTGCCAGAGCACTGCTGGCCTCATCCCGGCTGCCAGCATTCCCTGCCCGCTCCAGCCAGACCTGCGGCACAGTGAGTCTGGCTGCAGTGGATCTGATAGGTTAGTAATGCAAGAGCAATTTATAAATCTTTCCATCCCATTAGTTTTTATTTGATTTGGATGTTCCCATGTCAAAGCAGATGATTTAATTAGTACTAGGCTGGGTTGCAGGATGCTGCCTTCTCCCCGGGTCTGGTGCTCCCTCCCTGCCCTTGCAGCCTGGCTCCCCATGCAGAAATAGGCAGGACTTGCTGATGGGACAGAGCAACCCCAGGGTCACCCCAGCCTGGCCTTGCCTTTGCCCTCGGTCCTGCCTGGCTCTGGCTTCCCCCTGCAGCCAAGCATCTCCACTTACTGCTGTGCAGGGCCACCGGTGCCCGTGTCCTCTGCATGGAGTCTCCTATGGCTGGGATGGACACAGGTTATGTCCATGGGCAGGGGCCTCCTGCAGTGCTGCAGGAGGAGCTGTGCCTGCTTTGTCCTGCGGGAGGGGACGCCCCACTGGCCCCACACTGCGGACACCACCTCTCAGTGCCCAGCTCCTTCCTCATCATCACCTTGTGCTTCGCTTGCAGGAGCCTGATGCCGCGAACGCTCGACAGCCAGATCACAGTGGAGAAGACCCCCAGCTACTTCGTCACCAAGGAGGCCCCCAGGCGCATCTTCAACATGTCCCGGGACACGAAGCTGATCGTGGTGGTGCGGAACCCGGTCACCCGCGCCATCTCGGACTACACGCAGACGCTCTCCAAGAAGCCGGACATCCCCACCTTCGAGGGGCTGTCCTTCCGCAACCGCAGCCTGGGGCTGGTGGACACCTCCTGGAACGCCATCCGCATCGGGATGTATGCCGTGCACCTCGAGAGCTGGCTCCAGTACTTCCCCCTCTCCCAGATCCACTTTGTCAGCGGGGAGAAGCTGATCACGGACCCAGCGGGGGAGATGGGCAAAGTCCAGGACTTCCTGGGCATCAAACGGGTTATCACAGACAAGCACTTCTACTTCAACAAGACGAAAGGCTTTCCTTGCCTGAAGAAGTCGGAGAGCAGCGGCTTGCCTCGCTGCCTGGGCAAGTCCAAAGGCAGGACTCATGTGCAGATAGACCCCGAGGTGATCGAGCAGCTTCGGGACTTTTATAGACCTTATAATATCAAGTTCTATGAAACAGTTGGGCAGGACTTCAGGTGGGAATAAGCGTCCGGGAGCAGAGCTGCGGTGACGTGAGGCTGCAGTCTTCCATGAAGGGGGGCTGGAGCCAGGACCCCCCGACCAGCCCGTCCTGCCCAGAGGCCATGAGCAGAGGCAGGCGAGGGGCTTCCCCAGCCCTGGGGAGGCCAGGATGCTCCAGAGCAAGTGGAGATTGGGGAGACAGAGTCCTGCAGCAGCCGCTGAGGGATGGTGCCCAGCAGGCACTGCCCATCCCGGCAGGTCAGCAGTGCCAGGGCTGGCTCCGTGGGGTCCCATTTGATTTTACTGCCATGTGGTCCCCAGGGTCTTGGTGATGGTCCTGTCCTGCAGCTTATCCATGGGCTGCTCCAAAGCACGTCCCTCCTCTGTGTCCCAAAGCAAACGGGTGCTCCTGGACACCCCTGCCTACCCCGTGGGGCCACATCCCGCCCTGGTGCTGGGGCAGGCAGAGCTCCAGCCGCTCCACTTCGCCTTTCATCACTTAAGTGCAGTGTGTGACCATGAGGACAGTGAGATGTATCTGCTTGGAAAAGAAGTTTATCAGAGATGTTGTACCGATATTTTGTCCTGTGAATAAAGCACAGAATCCTGCTGTTACGGGTACTTCAGCAGCACCAGTGTCCTTGTTCAGCATGTCACCCCTTCCTGTGAATAAAGCAGCTACCACCGGTCCGGAGCATGGGCTTTTCTTAGGCAAGGCACGTGCCCATGGGTCGGGTCGGGTCCGGTGAGGTGAGGTGGTGGGCACAGAGCTCAGCACGCTGAGGAGGGCACAGCCCTTCGCAGGGCTCACAGCACCGCTCAGGGGTGCCGCAGGACCGGGGTCAGTGCCATCTGCCAGGCCTGAGGGGTGGGTGCTGTGTTAGACACAAGCAGCAGTACTTTATGGCTGGGAGGTGTCCGTGCCCACAGCAGGCGCTGGAACTGGGTGATCTTAAGGTCTGCTCAAACCCAGCCGCTCTGGGATCCTACGGTTGAGCCTCGGGGGCTGTTCTACAGGAGCCCATGCATACAATGAAGTGCCAAGGGCCACACACTTCAATAGCTGGCCCCATTGCATTAGTCACTGTTGTCCTTTGATTTACACCCCTGGGCACCGCAGCCAGCCTGGGTCAGGTGCCACCTCCATACTCCTTCCAGGGACCAGCCACCTCTGACTGCAGCGCACCTGGGAACAGGGAATTATCCCAGCTCAGCATCTTGCCTGGAGCCAAGACTGATGGGCTGCATCTTCAGGAGCTTGGAGGTGGTGCAGCATCCCTGCACTCCCAGCTCAGCATCCCTGCGCTCCCGGCTCAGCATCCCTGCGTTCCCGGCTCAGCATCCCTGTGCTCCCGGCTCAGCATCCCTGCGCTCCCAGCTCAGCATCCCTGCACTCCCAGCTCAGCATCCCTGTGCTCCCGGCTCAGCATCCCTGCACTCCCAGCTCAGCATCCCTGCGCTCCCGGCTCAGCATCCCTGTGCTCCCGGCTCAGCATCCCTGCGCTCCCAGCTCAGCATCCCTGCGCTCCCGGCTCAGCATCCCTGTGCTCCCGGCTCAGCATCCCTGCGCTCCCAGCTCAGCATCCCTGTGCTCCCGGCTCAGCATCCCTGCGCTCCCGGCTCAGCATCCCTGCGCTCCCGGCTCAGCATCCCTGTGCTCCCAGCTCAGCATCCCTGTGCTCCCAGCTCAGCATCCCTGCGCTCCCGGCTCAGCATCCCTGCGCTCCCGGCTCAGCATCCCTGTGCTCCCAGCTCAGCATCCCTGCACTCCCAGCTCAGCATCCCTGCGCTCCCGGCTCAGCATCCCTGCGCTCCCGGCTCAGCATCCCTGTGCTCCCAGCTCAGCATCCCTGCGCTCCCGGCTCAGCATCCCTGCACTCCCGGCTCAGCATCCCTGCGCTCCCGGCTCAGCATCCCTGTGCTCCCAGCTCAGCATCCCTGCGCTCCCGGCTCAGCATCCCTGCGCTCTGGCTCAGCACCTCCTGAGCACCTTGGGGTCCATGGGTCTAAACAGCTCCTGCAGGGCTCAGTCAGTCCAGGCAGCGAGGCCATGGGGGTGTCCACACTGTGGATGCACACACGTAGCCCCATCCCATCCTGCAGTGATCCATCTTACGCCCTGTTAGCAGGCCCTGTAATGAGCACCGCTGCTCATGAATATCAATAACAGCTCTTGTTGGCAGGGTGTTATTTGCCTTTCCAAGAGCTGGACTGTTTGAATCATCTATTGATTTTTGTAGTAAATCTCAGGCATTTCTGTCAAAGGCTGCAATTTACCACTAGCATCTAAATCTCAGCCTCTCCCCAGTGCCGGCGCAAACTGGTGCCTGTGCCACTGCAGCCGAGTTCCCGGTGCAGGAGCAGCCCAGGAGGAGCTGGATGTGCCAGGATTTGCCAGCACAGATGGGTGCTGCGGTGCAGCGGGTGTCTGGGGCACCGGTGGCTGTAAGATCCCCACGTGCTGGGTGGCAGAACTGCATGGGGGCTGTGACCAGTGCGAAGGAAGGGGGCACGCCTGGGTGCCTCCTTCCCCTTGTGCTCCAGTGCTCCCGACAGGAGCCAGAGGCTTCCCTGCGGAGGGGTCAGCAACGGGGCTGTCAGAGACCCCCAGTTATCTGTGACCATGTCCAGAGCCCCATGGCAGCAGGACCAGGGTGCAGGAGACTGAGGGGAGCCACAGTCCCAGACACCCTCTGTCCTCTGGTACAGGGCTGGGGATGCTTTGGAGCGATGCACAGTGGCCCTGTGGGGATGCACCGCAACCACAGAGCAGTTTGAGGCCTTACTGGAAGTGGTACTGTCCAGCGAGCTCTACTAGAACAAATAGGAGATAATTAATAGAGATCTAATAGATCCCTATCTGCATGGCTTCCTCTATCATCCAGCAGCAGCCATGGGGGGCCCCAGCAGGGAGGGGACCCAGAGCCAGCTGAAGGAGAGCAGGGCATTAGCAGTTGTCTGCAGGAAGATGGGATGTTTTCTTGTGTGATTTCTCCTTTAAAGGAGAAAAACATTCATAGCAAGACTCACAAATCGCAGCCTCACCATAGAAAAGCCATTTCCAATCCACTCTAAGGAGACAGAAGGTGCTGGGTTAGATTGATCCCCCTGACGATACTGTATTAGAGGGAAATTAGAGCTGGAGCCTGAAGAAACCACTGCAATACCAAACAATTACTTTACATTTGCCCTTACAAATGGAGGAAGCAGAAATGTGCTTAAATCAAGTATTAGGTTTCCAAAGGGTGAGCAAATGAGGGCTTAGGAGGGCCCGTACTGAGAATGCTTATCACATTAGGAGCCCTTGAAATGTGGCTTAAAAAAACTGAGAGCAGATGATGTGCATCTGAAAGAGGCGAGCCAGGGGCTTGGTGAGGACATTGAGCAGTGCTGGTTTGGTGACAGTGATGCTGAGCAGAGGGGCTGCCAGAGGGGGTCCCCCCACTCACCCACACCATTAAACGGCTCTGGCAATGGGGAGGAAAGTGCTTTCCTTAAGTGCAAACTTTCTCAGCCAGGATGTAAAGTCTAACCACCACTGTATGATTTGTGATGGGCTGCAAGGTACGTGGCTTAGTGCAACTGCTTCTGTGAGAAAGGTGATGAAGAGCCCTGCTAGAGCACAGTGCAGAGCCTTGACGAGCGTTCACAGCAGGACAAGGACCCTTGCTGACCTGACTGAGGTGGGTGCCAGATTCTGAGCCCAGCTTGCTGCAGGGGAGGGGCAGGGTGCCAGATCCTGAGCTGCAGGGATGCAGTGATGCCCTAAATGTACAGGCTGGAGAAGAGGTTGAGCTGCCTATCACCTGCATGGGCCTGCTGCAAGCTGCAGGCAGAACACGGTGCAGAGGGAGCATACCAAAGCAATCCCTACCAGAGAAAGCCCCAGCACTTGTATCAGGCAGTGCCTGGGAAGCTGCCATGGCTTGCACTGAAGCTGTCATGGGGTGACCCATGGGATGCACACCAGTGAAACTGGTAGCACAGTCACAGAGCACTGGCCATGCCAGGAGGTGCCAAGAGGTGCTCATTGCTGATGGACAGGAGGGTACACAGCCATCCTTGGTGCACCACATCCCCTGGCCCCAGAGGCATGGCTGCTGCCATTGTGTGCGCTGTGTTTTGATCGGTTCACTCAGGCTTGAACCCCAGAGAGCGGCTGTTTAATATTTATCAGCTCATAAATACTGAAATGTAATGAACATGACTCAAGTGGTCCCTGATCCCCTTCACACTGAAGAGCTCTCAAGATGTGCTAGGTCAAGGGAAGCCTTCCCAGGGGCCATTTACATCACTGGTGAGAGCCCTTCGGAGCCACCAGCACATCCCTTGGAGCCATGGCATCGCAGCACTGCTCCGGCCCAGCAGCAGCCTCCCCCCAGAGCACCTCTGGATGCCTCTTCCCTGGCAGGACCATCCCAGGACCGCCAGTCCTTCAAGCAGGCATCTCCATCGGGTATTTACCTCCCCTGATGAGGAACCCTGGGTATTTACCTCCCCTCTCCTGACGAGGAACCCGGACCCAGAGGTGAGCACCGCGCTTGCTCTGTGCCAGCAGGCAGGGTCCAGGCAGCCCAGCCGGGAGCTGGCTCCATGGTGAGTTCCTCAGCAGCAGCCCCGAGCTGCAGCCCTGCAGTGGCACGTTGAACCGAACCCAGGATGTCCAGCTGCACATGGAGCATCGCTCATCCCGCAGACCGCAGCAGAGTCACAGCACTGTGAGCACAGGGAGAACTTGGTTAACTTCTTATTAATGAATGCAATTCAGCTTCCCTGCTGGCTCCATGGTCATGGGTAGTGGCGGGGATGGGCAGCACTGCAAGGGGCAGTGGGTGAGGGCAGCCCTGCTGCGGGGAGCTGGACCCTGCCTTGTGTTGGCCATTACAATCCCTGGGCAGGGATGAGGCCCTGCACCGAGGTACACACAGCTCTGACACAGCCCCTCCCTCCGCCTGACACAGAGCTGTGCAGCAAGTAAATATGATCATTAACAGGCACCTCTAACCCTTGGAGATGATTAATGCTCAGGAAGAGCTGCGATGCTGGCACAGCCAAGTAGGTCAAGTTTCCTCCTGTTATTTTATCAGGCTGCAGCAGGGACAGAAACCTGCTGCCAGCTGAGCCCCTTGGGACCTGCCACCGCTGCCCAGGATGGGTTTGGCTGGGACATCACCCGGTGATGCTGATACCTGCCTGGGCAGCACAGACACAGAGCAGTGGTGATGCCTGTACCCAGGACGTGCCACGGCACAGGGCTGATCCACACCTTTGATTCACTCTGAGAGTTCTCCAGGTTCTTCCACAGGCTTTGCTCAGCACTGCAGCGAGCAGGAGCATGAAGGAGTGAGAGGCCCTGATGGTATCAATCTGCACTGGCGTCCAGGCATCACTGCATAATTCATTACCGGACAGCTAATTAGCCAGCTGGTCCAATTAGGGTGACTCCAGTGCCGCCGGGGCTCGGGGTGTGCAGGGAGCAGGGAGGTGATGCTTACCAGCGGCTCAGAGGGCCCATGAGGTGTCAGATGCCCCTGTAACAGCTGCCAACAGCTGGTGGTGGGTGCTGTGCCCATCAGAAGCACTTTGGCACTGACCGAGGAACGATGCTCTTACACATCCCTGCAGGAACACTGATTTCTGCAGCAGTCCTGAGGACCCTGATGGCAGAAGATGGTGTGATTGTGGCCAG